GGAATTAGAAAAGCTTAAGCCACTAGGAAGTCACCTATATCCTCAAAGCTCGAAAGACACATTTGACTTTGTCGTTGCCATAAAGAATATGAACGTTGGCGGAACGAAGATGCTCTCCTTGAATGTATCATCACTTTTTACCAACGTACTCGTGGTGGAAACCGTAAACTACTTCTGCAGTGTAATTCGCGACACAAACTATCTGATAGGTATGCCCGGGGAAACCCTTACTCATGCGGTGCACACAAAATTTGCAATTCCTCTGCAATGGCCGGCTCTACAGATAGATAGACGTTATAGCGATGGGCTCACCACCCGGTCCCTTTCTCGCAAACGCCTTTGTGGGCAAGATTGCGAAAATGAATGTGAGGGACACAATCAATTACCTCTGAATTTACGGTCGATATGTGGATGGCATCTTCTGTCTGACAGACCATAATACGAACATCGACACCCTGGCCCGGAAGTCTAACAGTGCGCACCCATCGTTCAAGTTTTCCACAGAGGTTGAGGTAGCTAATGAAATTTCGTCCCTTGATGTCCATTTACGACAACAAAAGGATGGATCTATCCTATGTAGAGTATTCCGAAGGAAAACCTGGACGAGACAATACATAAACTTACACAGTTTTGTTCGCCTAAATATAAAACGAAATTTAGTTCAGGGTTTAAAAGCTAGAGTGAGACGGATCTGCTCTCCTGAAACTGTCGAAGCAGAACTCCAACAGCTGCTGAACACGCTCCTGGAAAATGTATATCCAAGAAGGTTAATCAGGAAATCTACCCGTTTCTAGGTGGATTTATTTTGGCCTACACTGCCAGAAAAGTGAAGGAACTCGGATAGAACTAGTTAAGGTAGCAGCAAAAAGCCTGCTACCATAACTGCAGACAGGAAATACGTGTTCATTGGACTGGCTTTCCTAGGCGATGCAACAAGCGAACTGATAAAACGACGTCTGAAGACGGCGACCACACGCGCCTTTCCCGCAGCGAGCTTGTGCGTATTCTTCGTGAGCTCTCCCCTCCTACGAGTGGGGAGATAAAGACCGATTCGCGTTGAAGGCCTCGTCGATGTGCATTTACTTATTTACTTGCTCCTGTTGACCAGAATACATTGGTCGAACAACAAGGTGTATCGAAAAGGAGCTACCTGAAGATATACCGGCCTGGTTAAATAAAAGTGAAAATAAATCAATCTCGAGTTCCATTTTCGCACACTTTGTCGATACGAACCACCGAG